AATTGCTTTATTTAAAAAAGAAGGTAATTTGTTTCCGTCGGATAAGGTAATATTTATATTGCAGATACATGTTCTGTGCAAATTAACATAATAGATAAATATGTGTTACATGGATGCCTTAAGATGCGACAACTTGTCAGAAGAAATATGAAGACACAATGTGCATCATACCGCGGATCCTTGCAATGGTTGCGTGGGTGCCTGCTCCATTTCTGCAGAGAGTACAATTAACTTCATCATCCGATAACACGCGTCTTACAGAATAGAACTTCGTTAATTGATAATTTACCAAAATAAGATAATCAAGAGAGTAAGAAGCTAAAACGGGACTTACGTTGTTTCCAACACAAATTATGTAAAGAGATAAGGTTTTTTTTCTTTCTTAAATTATGCTCTCATGATATGCATTGTAGAGGAACTAGACTGATTTATTTTGCAGTCCTTAAAAATATTATAACTCCTTAATGCAGTGTATTAGTGATAGATGTTTTGAAGCACAAACAATATTCTGCACGTGTCTTCTTATGTGAAAATTGAAAATCAAATCATTTTATTGTCAAAAATCAAAAAGATTAGCCTTAGATTCCTATATATGATGTAAGGAATAGTGAACGGTAATCTGCTTCGCCGTGTGTTCTGGGCAATTACTATTTTTGTATTGTTTCTGGTACAAATATGTGAAGTGGAAAAAAATCTTGTACTGTTATGTGTTGATATTTGGAAAAGGTGGCAAACCGTTACGTGTAGTCTGGGAGAGGCAAGGAAACCCTGATCCCTGAAACCTTGTATCTAAATTGTAGACTTGTGAAACTAGTAATACGCTTGAACAGTAAGACCGGCGACCAAAGGCAACCTGTCTCGCTTTGGCTTTGATCTCCCCATGTTAACTTGTTCACACGTAAATTTACATACAATACAATCACAAAAATAAACAAGACTGTCGACCCTCTTCATCCTAGCCCCGGGCTCTTATTGTACAGTGGTCAGTCTAAGAAATAATAAGAAAAAATGAGAAAAAATAGGGCCATGAATATTCCAGTAATTATAATAATTAGCATAAAAAATAGCTAAGACTAAAACAAATTATTACTGGTGAACATTTTGCTATGCTTCTGCATATTTTGCAGTTTTTTTATGAACAAGAATACATACACAAATTAATCTGAACACATGACTTTGTAGACTTACAATATCACATTGCAGCTGATGCAGAATTTCACGAATTTCTTGTAACTTTTATAAGCGTTTTACAGGCAGTATTTATTTCATATCCTGGTGTACCTGTTATTATTAGGTTTCATGTAACCGCCATCAAGTGTAAAGTGACAAATTATTTCCTTTTTATTATTTCTTGTTGTCCATAGACTGTAATTGAAGATATGTTCAATAAAAACAACATTTTAATCGTAATGTAAGCCTTTTTTCAGAAGGAACAAACACAAGTTCGGAACGAACTATGGCAGTTACAGAGAAAGCTATTGATAATTAATAATATTAATCAAGGTACACGGGGGCCCATAAAATGTACCGAAGGAGAAGACAAATCGTTTCTGTCCCAAGCATCTCTGGAAGTAATTAAAATTACTTGATTTACTGCGCCCGATGAAATATTCTACATGAATAAATTATCAGTTCCATTGAAGAAATGTGATGTACGTTCTCTTGCTAGGAGAATACGAAAACAAATTTGTGCTGCTTCTCCAGAACCTTCAAAGATATAGTTGGACAAATGTTCTCTGCAAAAATCTTTACAAATATGAAATTCCTGTAGGAAAGATGGCCTTCAATGATATATGAGAGCGCCGTCTGAAGAACAGATTTAAAGGCTTTTTGAACAAGATGAATTTCTTTGCGTTAGTTAGACAAAGTTCAGAAAGATCAATTACTTGTTGGTTCTTTTTCCAAGTTCTGTAAGAAATAATTTAAATGCTACAAAACCTGTAGGTACTTGTTGGTAAGCACCTTGAGCCTGAAAAGGCTAACATCAACACAAAATACATTTGTTCTGGCTTGGTATAAGTAGCTGGGATCGTGTCTTTCTCGCTATTGAGCCCTCCAATTCTAAAAATAGTTTGCATCTTCTATGTGCAATAAAACCAAGAAGATTATCAAAGATTTGATTAGAATTACCCTGTGCAATTTTATTTGACACATTCTATTGTAGCTGAATCGGTTAGGAAAACAAAGATTGCTAGGTAGTTATCAATCGTATATAAATATAAGCAAATCTTTGAATGTACGTGAGAGTTTTTTGTCAGGGAAGGGAATCAAACTTGTGCACCAAATAAAGGTATTCATGACTTGTATCAGCATTCATTAAGCTGAGGATAGAAATAGAAAATGTTGTACTGTTTTTATAAAATCTAGATAAAAGTATTGTAAAATTGTTTGATAAATGTAAATCCACTTATAAAATTTTAATGATTTTCAAATAAATCAATGAAAATTTAACGAGAAGATGTGAACGCGTCAGATTTGCACGTACACAAAAAGGAATCATATTATATGATATAGAAACGCTTGAAGTGACTAGAGGGTTGTCACTATTTTGACAACCTTATGAAGAAAATATATACATTGTGTATGAAATATGCGTTTTAACGATAAAAACCAGAAGGTTATCTTACAGGGTCCAGATCGCTTTGGACAGATGTACTTGATACAAAAGGTAGGGTTTTCGTCATATTTTTACGAAGAAAATATGACATTTTAACAATTCACTATGTTTCATTACAAATGTACATGCCGTTACTTTTCTTATATCCATTACATTATACAAGTTTACTGTTAAATTGATGGTATAATATTTGTTCCCTTTGTTCTGTGAATCCTCCAGGCCTTGACCCCCCCCCCCCCCCAAGGCCTTGCATGCAAACTCCCACATCTTATCCGTCTTCGAAATTCTTACATTATTTTTTTTTTATCAATTCTTATTATGATAAATATCTTTACATAGCGTGTACATGTAAACGTTAATTTACCTCAATTATTTTAATATTTATTTTTTTGGATTCTAGATTTTATAATAATTAAAAAAAAACTTTTAAACAACATAAGTATGCCCGTCAGATGGCTTTCTGTATGAATTGTACCGGAGTATTTCAAACAGATGACAGATTTTTTTTAAATGATGAAATTACACTGATTGACGAAAGAAAATGCTCATAGTATATAATATTTTTTCCTTCACCGGAAAATTTCAATAGTATTTCCTTCGGAATAGTTACCATTAAAGTGAAAAAAGACTTAATTTTTTTTTATTTATTATTTACTTTTATTATTATTATTCATAATCATTGTTTCTTTCTGATTTATTTGTGTGTCATAGTCAATAATGATAATTAATTTTTCTATTAACTTCGAAAGGAATTGCCATCAACAATTAGTTTAATAATTTATCATTTCAAAATATTTTCAAATCTGTGTAATTATTTTTTTGGTTTAATAATTGTACGTATATTGTATCCTTTATAAAATGATTTGGTTTGTATTAGTTCTAGTTCGAGTCTAATTTAAAAAAAAGTTATTTTATTCAATTTAATTTTGATTACATCTGCCAATTTGTCAGTGTTGCAGATGAAAGAATTAAAAAATGAAATAAATATTACGGACTTTTTCATAATAAAATAATCCTTATTGATAATTATTCAGATTTTTATTTTAATCAAATCTTGAGAATATATCACATGAGCACGAATATTTGCGGCAATTGCAAATCACGTGACGTCGATGCAGCCCGAAGTCTTAATGTCCGAGGAGACCATCAATTTAATTTACAGTTAAAACATAAAAATTAAATACCATGTTTCTCATTATTATCCCAGATTAAGTACTCATATCATTTAATTACTAGCCCATTTGAGGGTCATAAAAATGTAGTGTGTATTGAGATGATCCTGCGGAGGGTTAAGGGTCTATAAATCTGTATTAATGAGCCCCGAATATCACATTTTACGGTGCGTATATTATGCATGGATGGTATTAGTGTAAATGGGACATCACAAAGTTAGAACAGTTTTATTGCACACTGCAGTCAAAACAAACCATAAAGCAAACAAATTTTCGGGTCTTTACGAACCGGCAATACACGCGTGCTGGGATGACGCTCTGCTTTATTCATTTACGCAACTTAATATATTTAGAGTAAAATCTGTTCGAAAAATCATCAAATGTATTTATTTAAAACTTGGTTAGAATGACCGTATTGCTTTTTCTTTATTTGTCGCCAAGAAGCGGGAAAAACAAGATTGATGACAAGATTTAGGAAAACAAACAAGAAAATCTTCAGCTAGATTTCAATTACAGAATGTAAACTTTTGATCATTCACACAGATAAATGTCCAATTTTCACCGGGTTTTGTGGAATTAGCCGGTCAGTGTGACTTTTCGGTAGACAACAAACGCCGTGTGGTTTACAAAGAAACGTCTTGAGGAGATACGGCTTGCGATAATAGGTAAATGATAAGATTGTATTGTCCGGTTTGTTTGAATAGCTTCAGGTTCGCACCTTTAAGTGTAAAAAGTGTGCCGGTTACAGAAAAAAAAAAAAACGAAGAGAAAGTTATCTTTAGAAAATTCATTAAATTTTTACTCAGAGAAATGGAATATAAATACCAAATACCAATAAAATACCATAAATTAAAAAAAATATATTTTACGATTAATACACACATATATATGTCACTCTGAAATTTAAAAAAATGCACTATCAATATGCATTATTTAATAATAGGAAATTTCAAACATGCCAACACATAATGTCTTTAACCAGATTGATATTCCGATGGAAATATTTTTATCAATATTTTTTTTTTAAGTTAGATAATTCAATCAGTTGAATACTTTAATTTTCTATATAAAGTTACGTTACACTTCACTGAAGCTCAATGTAGCGTAAATATACAAGTCCTGCCCACCGGCATCAATACATAAATATAAAACAGGTAATGTTGATTAACACTTCATATAAACACAAACCAACACAGCTTACCAGAGTGCCAGATAAGAGTCCTCTTATTGAGAAAAATCATCAAAATCATTCTTCATAATTTTGGAACATTTAAATCATCGAGTGAAATTAAAAACTTTCAGTGAAACTTAACACAGGTGAGAAAATATTGTGATGAATATTGCAATCACGTGACATCTACCTTTTTTCTGATTGGGTGCGAGATTCCATCACATGCATTTTCTTCTCACGAGAGATCGTTTTAGCATATAGTGGGGGTGGCTTCAGAAACATTATATGACCGAGGTTAGGTCTTAATGTTCCGAATACAAATCAAACAGGACTAGATAAAGCGGTCATTTTTGAGTGATACTATGAGTTCGTACTATAGCAGTATCATGCCTGCTCATATGCCCGGGTCGGGGGGCACTGGTCCTACGGATGTGTACTACCCCCGGGCCGAGAAGCACCTAGAAGGAGGAGGATTTCACTCTGCTCCCCATAATATGTGTTTTGACAACAGTGACAATTCATACGGAATGTCTGGGTATCCGTGCTACCCTATGTATGACAGATTAGATCCTCATGGACCTAGCCAACCTATGAACCTTGTGTCCAAACAGCCAGGCTTCTGTGCGGGAAGCAATGGCTCTATTTACCAATCTTACCAAAATTCACAAAACTTTCATGGACAATCTTTCTCCGATGATAGATCAAACTGTGTAAAAAATGAGGACTCTTGTGTCCCCACCCCTCCCCCAAATTACTCTGTTCACGAACAGCCCCATCACCCCGCGGTATCCCAAATGCATGGGTCAGAACTGAGCCATCTTGCCACAAATCCTGCAGCCAGAATGAATGGACTCTCTCCTGCACCAAATATGCAAGTTTTTCCATGGATGGGTTCCACAATTAATGGAGGTACGTTTTCGCTTTTTGATTCCGAATTTTTCCTTTCTTTAATAGCAACTTTTCACGTTCTCAGTGTCAGAGTGAGTGATAGATATTTTATGTCACATGTAAAGGCGAGTAAGGGTAGTAAACATTAAATCAATTTTAATGTTGGTTTTAATGGCAAGCTGCTCCTTGGCGCAGCGGCGTCCGAACAAAATGGTTTCCCGACAAAATACGGATGGCGCTGCTATGCCGAGTTAAACGCTTCAACGACTTTAAATTCGTTCAACAACTTTACGACTTGATTTATATTTTTCCTGCTTTAGATCTTTTTTGATGCTCTCATTCAAAATGTATATATTCTGTGTAAATATCTTAAGTTCGAGGGACGCGTCTTTACGGTTTTGTATTCTTCCAAAATAAATTTCTATGGCGTTGCGTGATATTATTATTCAACGAATATTTTTCAAATTTTTCATTTTAGAATCTAACTAAGAAACAGTCATTCATGCAAGGGTGAATATGATATAAAACCTGTCCATTTCACATTGCCACAGAATAAATGTCCACTCGGTCATAAATTTATCACCATTTAGTCCAAACAGTCATTCTGTAGTTTGTACATTCATATAAGCAACATGAACGTGACGGGTTTTAATAGCAAGAGGGATGTTCTGTCCTTTCCTGAGATATGATAGGAACAGGGTTGTCCGTCATGGGGTGTACGTTTCCGTGTTTTTTCTCTTTCCATCAAATAGTTCTTATGTAGCTTTGTTTTACAAATATTTTTTTTAGACAATGCACTGAATCATTAATGAAGAAAGAACAAACAGAAATAAGTATTATTCAAAATGAAAATAAACATAAGAGTTTTTTTTTTCAATGTATGCATCATTATTGAAATATTATCAAAGATTTATTTAAAATAATTTGCATAATTCTGTGATTTTTATTATTGAATGATTTATCAACAACTCAAAATACTTAGATGATGATATTCCTGAAAATTACAAAAGTAATATCTATGTCAAATTTAGCAAAATTTTTACATAAATTGCCACAGAAATAAATATATATAAATCTTTCACACACACACCCTAAAAAAAAGAGAGAAATAAATATAAAACCGGAATTAAGGATATTTTAGGCATTGAACGAGTTGTGCACTCCGAAAGAGTTTAATCCAGTTACTAACTTGTATACACATTGTTTCATTATTTTCTGTTAATTAAAATCCCGTTTTTGTTAATTTGTATACAGTAAATCGACAGAGAAAATAAAAACATAAAAATTATAATTTTCGCCAAAGTATGGAATGAAATAATTATTTAGTAAACATTTAGTTTTTTTGCATACGCTTGTTTGTCGCATTTCCCTTGCCTTTATAACTATAATTGAATATTATTTATTTTCAAAATTGTTGAATAGAAACAAAATAAAGACAGTTTGTAAAAATATTTTTCTGTGTCTGACTTAAAAAGAAGATTTATATTTTAAAAATTAATTTATACACCCTGCCATAAATGTTTAGCAAAATCTTCATCTCTAAATGCGTCATTTCCCCATCTCAATGTTGTTGTTTTTATAGGCCATAAAATGATTGTTGGATTAGTGATGCATGTTACTGTTTATAGTACAAAGTTTGAATTATTTAAATCAACTGTAATATGATACCCTTGTGTTTCATATAATTTATTTTTACCTCCATTGCACTGAAATCATATCGCCATATTGGATAGGCTATGCAAATCATTAATATAAACTTCTATGCATATTCATGATTTATAATTTGTCCAAGGTTAATTATGTATCATATAAACAACAATTAAAAAATATAAAATAATACATAAAATAATTTAGAAATAAGGAATAAAACATAGTAAAAGGACATGGCATTATTACAATAAAAGAAAACAAACCTTAAGTAATGATAAATTTAAAAAAATAATAATAAAATAAAATAAAAATAAAAATATCCAAGGAAATACAAATTTTAGATAATTTCAATCTGGGCACCTTAAGATGACCCCCAATTATTTGCTACTTATAACTGTCATAAGTGGAGGATTTCAGTGATAAATGAGGGAGATCATTGGGAGCAGAGTCTTTTTAGAGTATATATGTCATATCTTGTTGACTTAGTCCTCTTCTATGTATAACCTGAACCGTTTCTTCTTCTACCCGTCCTAGACAGTAAAAAGGAAACGGATCACCGTATTGGGTTTCCATTTTATCTTGAAATGTCATCACCCATGTTCGCACAGTTGTTCTCAAGCTTATTTCTAAAAGAAAATAAAAGAGAAGAGAACGATTTCCTTACACCTGTAGTTAATAAAAGTTAGAAATTCACACCTTTCTTTTCAACACATGGCCGCTGGTAAAACGAGGATGATATTTGAAAAGATAGAGGCTACATTTATGGAATATTTTTGTCAATCTATCTGCCGAAAGTGATGAATGTCCTATAAACTAGCGTACTTAAAATTCAAGGACAACAAGTCAAAATAAAAATGCTTTATAATCACGGTTACCTAAACTAAAAAAATATATCAGGAAAACTAAAACAAACAAAAATTAGAAATAAACATTTTTTGCACAATAAATTGCAGACATATTGAATTAGCTGTCTGCATCTCTACACCGCGTGAAATAGAGGACATGCATTAAATCACACAAAAACTCTCCTCATAAATTGATAACAAAAGCTAAAAACTTGGAACATGTTATGTCGTCAGCAAAATACGAGTGCACTGTAATTTCTCCTAATTACAAAGAGAGGGGCGTCCAGAGCATACTGCACACACACACACACACACACACTGTAATGATAAATGTGTCAGGCAGATTTGTAGATTAATGTATCATTTCGTTCGAAATTTAATTACCATGTCAGGATATGCATGTTTCTGCACTCTGCACTCTCTCTTATTATATATGATAAATATGTTACAATGTACTCATTTTCCCTTTCCTCCTACACAATGCAAAGATAAAACATTTGATGGATTTTATTTGATATTAAGGACTCTATGTAAATTGAAAAGAGTGCCTTAGGTATTTACAGTATACAAGAATGATTCATGATTTGATTTTATTTTTTCTCCAACACATCCACAGTTTGTTTTAAAAATATCATTCTTTCAACCATCAAAACAAGAAGTTAAAAAATGTACACACACTTCTGCTGCTTGTAAAAACAAGAGGCTGGTTGTATTTTGATGAACGTTTAGTGGAAAATTCAGCCTCAGTTTGATAGAGAACCTGACGAAGGCCGAGACTTCAGATCAAACACTATACAAAAAGAGAGTTTTCTTGTAACATCATTTAAACTGGAATCAAAGTGTCTAATGTACATAAAAATAACACGATAATAGCTAAATGTAATATCATATTACACTAAGTTGCTACCTCTCTACGGAGGATCATAAACAATTCAAAAAATCTTATGTGGAAATATTTATTAGATTTCGCGCCAGGATACAGATTTGTGTAGAACATAGAGGGATATCGAGTGTCTGAGAGGTGCACATGATACCAATTAGCTGAAACACATTATCCCTAGCTCTGGCTGTTTTTTATTCTGAGCACTTCGCTTTTTTTCTCTGAGAATCTGTCGACTGAGCTGCAAGCCTAAAGGGCTCCCGAGTCCCCAGAATACCAAAGATAGTGGGAGAAAGGGGAGCAATGTAGAAAGTAATTAGACTAATTAGAGTTGTTGAATGCTTTGGTTACTTCACAAAAACCTTCCATTGTTTTTCGAGCGTCGCAAACTCCAACCATAATCTTGATACAAAATAATCGTGTGGATCTTAAATCTTCTTAGAACACTAAAATTTTTCATTCATAATAAAACTCTCGGGAAAAACTCCTTTAGCTACTAAAAAAGCACCATCATCCATATTTTTCGTCCGCTTGTAAAAACACAATGTTGTATATAGTTTAAAATGATAATAATGAATTGTAATAAATGTATTATATTCAGGAAAAGGGACACATAAAACATTTTAATTTTCTGTTCAAGTTCAGTTTATACACTCAAAAAATACATAATTGTACATGATGAACATAAAGCGTATAAAAACATATCTGGATTCCATATATATATATATATATATATATATATATATATATATATATATATATATATATATATATATATATATATATATATATATATATATATATATATATATATAACTATTTTACATAAAATAAACAATAATAAATAAATCTTTAACACGCCAGGTCAGATAACTCATTGGGTTTGAATTAAGGTAATAAAAATCTTAGGGGGAAAAAACTTAAAAATTGTAAATGCCTTCTTGTTTACGAACCCAACATCCTACTTATGAACAGGAAAACAAGGTTTCCAATCTCAAAAATATGATGCGTAAGTCATGCAGGAAAACTTCTGCAAGCTAAACGCGATTTTTTTTTCTTTAGGTACGTTTTTTTTCCGCATACTGCATTCTCCGCTTTGCTCCCTGGTGAGCGATATGATTTTTTCGTTTAATCTTTGAATGTTAAATAAGGGATACATTACCTAGCCAGCACTCACTGATCGCTATCAAGACTGCATTAAACCTTGTACATGAAATCAATCTGTTATTGAAATGATAAAAATTCAGTGCAAAACATTGAGCGCTTTTCTACTGTGTTGTATAATTCTAAATACACCGACAGATCAGGTTGCTATTTTACTAAGTGTAAAAGCCATTTGTGAACGTTGAGCACATAATCATTATAATAGCATATATAATTTGACATTAATGTGATTTTCCATACATGATTTTTATACATTGAAAAAAAAAATGTACATATGATTACACTGGTAAGAAAATCTATTTAAAACAATATGGAGAGGGCCATATCGGCAGTGTGTCTGCTACCCAGTTCAATTATGTAATTATGTATCTATCAAAATAAAAATATTGTTTAAATTAATTATTTAAACCAAGTGCTCTGTCACCAGCAAAGATTCAGATATATGTGACGTAACAAATGGTCCGGATGGTCTAGTCCAAAATTTAGTATGGTGACATGCATGTTTTAATCTGTCAGAAAATCTAAACAAAGATATCACAGACAGTTTACAAAAGTTGAATGAAAAGTGAAAAATCTTAATGTCCATTAAGGTCGAAAAGCAAGCAATAGCCCTAGGTCCGACCGTTGTTTGGCGATTTCGTGGTGTACGTTTCACAATGACCAGGGCCAAGTAAACAATTGATTTATGGCAACATTAGACAACACATACCCATTAATTATCATGCCGTGTTTGTTTATCGAGGAAACATGTGTAACTTTGGGCAACTTGTTAATGAATTTTGCCTAATTAAAGAACACCACTGCTACATAGGTGTCCGCCAACACGTAAACCTTGATTTTCCTATTACTAGATTGGGTTTTAATCAAATTATCATCCTCGTCGGCATTTGTGTAAAATTTTCTTATAAAAAAAAAGTTGAGTAATTGCATCAATATTTCGTTGGCATCAATCTTTAATTGACTCTGAAACGGTGGATTGCACCATTGATTTTTTTTCTCGGTCCTCACATGAGATCGACAGCGGTTGTTTTTTTTTTTTTTTTTTTCAATATTAATATAAGAAACAGGTCCTATCTTCCTGGGGTAATTTGCTGAATCACTGCCATCCTTACATTGTGACGTACGTCCTGACGGAAATAAAAACCTAGCCCATGTAACAGTCTCCATGAGCCCTGTGAATTCGGTGCTTGGAATTTTCTCTTTGTAATCGGCCGCAAGGTTTCAAACAACTTCCTTTTTTTTTTTGTATGTTATATACGCAATTTATTGTGGGTAATTGATCATGTGCATCCAACAAAAACCAGATACAACAAACAAAATGTCTTAATAATTCATATTTACATTAGTCTAGCTTCATTTCACTTAATTTGCACAAATGCACAAAAAAGTGATTGCTAGTATTATAAACTATAATTTATTGTAAATCTCTAAGGAACAGAGTGATAAGGAGTATCAAAAACATACAGAAATAAGTGACTCGGCAATTAAATGGAACTTTCCGACAGTGAAATTTAAACCACTTTAAAATCATTACTTTTTCGTTTCTCCCTCCTTCTAGAAAAAAAAAATGAAATCCGAATTTACAATTTAATTTAAATAATGGAAAGCTGATCTGAAGACTTTTTCAAGTGAAATCAATATAATATTTTTACTTTTCTGATGGATTGTATGAGGTTACTACTGCTTTAATTGTATAGAGACATTGCACAGAAAAAGTGGAGAATACAAAGAGGAACATCTCACTGAATTGTAAAGCAGACACCAGAAAGTCACTTTTTATTAAGCATATGGTCTGTGATCAGAAAACAATCACAAAAGATAACATTGATTCAATACATTGCGCAAGTAGAAACTGACGAAACCCATATGGTCATTCAGCAATCGTTGCATTTTCATGGAAATAATCAATATACAATGTATAGTTCTTTCATTTTCAAAGCATAAGATGAGGTTCTGTACCTAAAAACAAAACAGTACTATCAATAGATTGCATTTATTAGCATAAAATGTTTAAAATATTTCATTAACATTGTCAGTAAGAATTAAGTGCTAAAAATTGATGAAAGATTTTTCTTTTCACAAATAAAACACAAAGGCTGTTTGTCGGTTTGCAAGGGCCCTACAATATGTCTTACTTCCCTTGAACACATGTCAAAGGGGACGCTTACCGGGGACTGGTGCGGATACACGCCCGGCGTCTAGACTCTTACTCTGTAGAAATCAACTCGGAAAATGTTTTTGTTCATATATTCCTCTTCAGAGCAGTAAAAATGTCGTTAAAATCTAAGGACGCGGGGAGGGCTGGCATGATCAAAGGGAACAAGCGTTAACATGGCCGCTCGAGACATGCAAAGTTGTATGATGTAATGTGCGTTTTGTTTTGACAGACAACACATGTATAGCATTTGATCAGGTCAAGAAAAAATAAAGTACATTGAAAATAACTTTACAAAGACATCACTCAATCATATTGTATCAATATAAAATATGCAAAATCTAGTTTAATATTCTGAAATAGAAGAAATGGAATTGAAAATATCAAAGTGGAACAAGAAATTTGGAAATGTAAGAATGTGCAGGGATCATGTTGAATTATGCGTGAATTGCGTAATGAGATTTGACCTTATACGTAGCCATTACACTCAGGGGAAACAGAGTTTCATCAAGTAATGTCATATTGACAAAATCTAGATTGCTATCTGTGTGTTGGGACTGGCTGATGTTTTATTATTGTATATTGACAATTTCCCTTCTCCTTTTCAGCTGAGGTGACATATGAACAGAAGAGAACAAGACAAACCTACACACGCTATCAAACTCTTGAGCTGGAAAAGGAATTTCATTTTAACCGCTATCTCACGAGGAGGCGACGAATTGAAATTGCTCATCTATTAGGACTTACTGAACGTCAAATTAAAATCTGGTTCCAAAACAGGCGGATGAAATGGAAAAAGGACAATAATATACCCAAATTGACAGGCCCAGATCGATCAAAGCCAGAAAATGACTCGGAAAGAGGCATGACGTCATTAGCCAGTCCCGGATCAGATGATAATTTTTCTAGTTGAGAAAAGTACATAATGCGAACTCTTTTGTGTCTCAGGGTAAAAAAAATCGATGGACAAAAAATTGTGACCTATTTTTCGAAAACGGTCGGGTTTGTGATTTGGCCCCTCCGAGGACGTGGAGCGTGATGGTCGGGTTCGAGGTGCGGCTTCGCGGTTTTGTGTGTCATACATTGGATGTAAACCGTTCACTTTGTACACTTGCTAAAAAATAGGACAATTCAAAGGTCAAGACAGTAAACTCAAATAAATATGAATTCCATATTTTTCCTGCATAATTTTTGGAATATAACCGGTGAAACAACATTAAAAAGAAAACTTTGATGTGACAGTGTACATGAAACGGTGAAAGAAATACTACATCCAAAACTCTCTACTAGTGTACTTAGATTACATAAAAGTATTCCATGACATCAGTCCCAAATCTCGTGACCAGATCTCATTTAACGAGATTTATTGGTTACATTTATACAAATGTTGAATGATAGTGTTAGTTGTCTAAAATATTAAAGATATCTATAACAATTAATTCAAGTTGTTGTTTTTTTTTTAAAGAACAGAAATACACAAGACGTTGGTATGGTTATTGTAAAATATAATTCGTAAGAAGTAAATTTTGTTTTTAATTATAACAATGTGAAAAATAATATTTAGATTTTGTAGAACTAAAATTGTTGCATATTTATAACAGCGTGTAATAAAAAAAAATAGAAAAAAATTAAAACGAACGAAAAGAAATTTATTGTTTCAAATGCTTCTGAAACATGAAAGTTAACCGTAACATTTTGTTTCAGTTTTGGAAACGCGTGCACCATCCGTACCCCATAAAGTGACATGTACACTAGAATTATATTTCAGAAAATTTATACTTTTTTGTATTAAAATACGCAATAAATTGTAATGAAAACGGGAATTTTTTTTTTTTTTTTTTATAAATTTCATATTCAATAAAACATACACCATAATAGCTTATAATATTTATAACAATATACTGGTAATATAAAAAGAAAAGCCGCATCAGCTAGAACATTTCTATTGTTTCCAGACTGAAAAAAAATATGTTATATGTTCTTCTATATTTAATGAATTTATACAAATAAAAACCGATAGATCTCGTATTGTGTATAGAAATAAGGTTTTTTTCCCTCACTGTTGCTCGTGATTTCCACAATATTTCAGTTAAACAAAAACAAAATACATACATGCTTCAAGTAAAAATTCTTTCAGGAAGGTGTAATTAATGGCATCTATAAAGGTATACTTTAGCTTATTATCATTAGATGTTGGGATCTACGCATTTTTCAGCTTCTTCCAGGAATAACCAGATCATCAGAAGACTTTAGAGGCGATTAATAAAAATAAAACTGTCTGCATTCCCCTTAATGTAGAAATCTTAGACAACAGTGATTACATTAAATTAGATTGAATATATTTTTCTTACTCTGTGTTTCACCTCTTTGTTTATAATGCACACACAGAAGAAATAGTTTTTGTCCTTTTTAAGGCCTTATATTAAATTGGGCACTTAAAATACTTTTTTTAAAAATGATAACCACACCCGAAATGGAGAAGCAGTTATGATTTTCACTAGAAATTTGTTACTATATAATACACACTAAAATGCATTAAAATTAAACTGTCAATATTCTCGATAACGAAAGTAGAATGTATCAAAATTATTTCGAGAATATGCATGGAAATAATGTCATTATGATCTTTGATTGTTTGTGTACTTTGGAAACAATTTGATTCTGTGTTAAAAAAGTGAACCGAAACTAATTTATAATTTAACCCCAGAAATGTGTTTAAATATAAAATTTGTTGTCGTCAACAAAATTTAATTTTGACATTTTAGTAAATTAAATAAATTTTTTTTTCTTTTGTTTTTGTTTTGTTTTCTTTTGGTTTTTGGGGGGTTTTTTTTGTTTTTGTTTTTTGTTTTGTTTTTTTTTTTTGTGTGTGTTTTGTTCGTTTGTTCGTTCGTTTGTTTTGTTTTTGCTAAAAATTGAATGTCCATGGTATATACTTCAAACAAAAATATCAAACAAATATAAAACAAAACGGAGTAATGCATTGGTTACATTTTATATGCATTGTGTTTGTGCCTTGTCCCGATGTTAAGCTAAAAAGAGGATTTGTAGTTTATGTTCAATATTATGATTCTTGCATATTTCAAAATCAATGGGAAAAAAATTAAGGCAACATATTGCTACTACACAGATGGTGAGGAAAATTGAAAACGTAAGCAATTTATATACAAATTACACGAATTGTATAGGGGAAAATACGAATTCTCTACTACTCCGAAGTGAGAAAACGTTTAGTAAAATATTCCTTTTTGTCAACAATGCAAATGGACGTATAAACTACGGAAATCCTCTCTAGTTTATTGTTTGTACAAGTCAGACTTATTGAGACTGAAATAAAATTCTGACAATTGCACATTTAGGTCTGCACCAAATTGAAAATCTTAATGCACCATGTACACTGTATCTAAAAGAGATAATAACAATTTACAAAGTGTCTAAACCATTTTCTGAAAATTTATCACAGTAATCCTGTTAAACAGGTTAATTAGATAAATATAATGCTTACACTGTACACATTTTTGCTTGTTTAGTTCATTTCATAATTATTTTTATAAATATATTCTAATAAGACACATATTACAATGGCTTCTACTAGATTAGAAATTTGAATTTTTTTATAACATATATCGCAGTGAAACAGAACTCATTTAAATAACTTATTTATCTATGTCTGAATGACAGCTCCTCCCAAATTCAACATCTTCCAGGTCAGGGGATCTCCAATCGCTATAATGATACAATAGTTACTCCACCTGTGTTTCGCAGTTTCTGACATTCAGTTATTTATGTGAATTGTAATCATTGCAGTGATAAAACCCCGTCCCAGTGACCTCAAACACTCGGTACCTGTGCGTGCCAATCACCACGTCTCTCCTCTGACACACAATAACGGCTAAACATGTTAAAACATTTAGCAGCTCCTTGATTAAGCACAGTTTTTATTTTTAAGAACAAGAAGGAGTTAGCTTTCTTTAGAGATGTCAAAATTGTCTTTCCCTGCTCCAGTGGAGTATGAGTGACAGAGTTATTCCTCTTTCATCAATAGATCATATGAAAATGGCGATTTTCACTAAAGTAAGCATTTCCTTCGATAAAAAAAAAACTGTCTTCAAAAAATTATATTTATAATTTTTTCAAATACAGCAAAGTAATTAAATTATTTCCTTACCCAAACCCTTGAATTAGCTATATTCTTTTAAGACTAACAAATTCGTGTTCATGCATTTATGAAATATCAAGAAATAATAACCTCTGCGATGACGAATAAACCTGCTATTTTTTCTATACAGCGCATACCGTGGAATAGTTTCTGTGCTTTTTGCCCATGGTGAAATAGAAATCGAACTATTCACCGGCAGCATTCCATTTTCCTCCCGTAAACACCTATTTACCTGCTATAAGGTCAATAGAAAGTTTATTGCACCCTTTCAGAGCATCCATTCCCCTTGGGAAAAAAGTTGCTGTCTAGGGGGACAATAAACTTGCTATTGTCCTCATAGCAGGTAAATAAAAATAGGTTTATAATATACAAGAAAATTTAAAACGTTAGCTAGCTAAACACAGGAAAAAGGGCTTTCAATTTGATATAGTGTACAGATGAGGAATTATGGGCTACTTGTATAAAGTGTGGGGAGGGAATAAACAGCTTCAGTAATTCAGCAAAAACTCAGATATCTATGAGTTTTTATTTTAATAAGATACAAATTTAAACTACGATAGTGCCCATAGATTGCTTATTATTACAATGTATTTTGATTTTGAAATTATAAGTTGCAAATAAAGTATACTAAAAACGCTAATTCATAACTACATTTATTAGATAATATAACTTAAAAAATGTCTAGAGATGATCTACACGTATGTTTTTTCAAAGAAGGAATTTTGAAGGCGCAATCCTTGGGGAAGAGGTTTCAGAGTTTTTGAAAAGATTAATGTCTGTTTGCACCTCATATATATCCAAATAAATTTTTTTTTTCTTTAAATACAGTTTGATTTTTAAGTAAAAGAAGTTAACGCAGGCCCGCAGGAAGCAATATCAGTGGGGGGGGGGGGGACTATCAGCTACCATAAATTTATTGACAAATCATAATATAGTAGCTATGTTTTCTATAGTATTCTATATCGGCAAAATTATTGGGGGCACGCTCCCTGCCCCCCCCCCCCCCAGTTCCTACGGCCATGTTACTATTATAATTTTCAATAATTATGAATATGCAATAACTACTGAATACACGTAAATTCTGGTGATAATGGACTGTATTTCACTTCCTCTTAGGTATTCTGATTTTTTAATGAGCTAAAATGAATACAAAAATCATATTTATCAAAAATAACCCCTCACCCCCCCCCCCCCAAAAAAAAAATAAGTAGAGACTTGTCTAAATCATATTTGAGCGGTAGAATATTACACAGGTGTCTAAATTAAGTTTTTGATTTGCTGCCAAATAATGCTTAACATTCTACGAGCTTGATATAAATATTTTGATTCTTTGATGTACAGGATAAACTATTATACTAGGTTTTTGTAGAAGGGGAAGTGGGTCTAGGTGTAGCAAATAATGGGTAGTAAAGATGAGACTTGCAGTCCACATTTTAAACGGATTTATGATTTATTTCAGCAAATATGAACGTTTACGTACATTTTTTTTCATACATTATAGACTTGATAAAATACAACAGAAGCAGATAGACTATAGCGTTAGACTAATCTCCTTACTACGACAGTTTAAAATAACCCCACCCCCACCCCACCCACCTATCCCCACCATGAATAGATAAGACAAAAAATGAATATCAAAGACAAATAAAAAACAAATACGAAAAATAAAGGGAAAAAGCAAGAACAACAACAACAAAATCAGGCAGGCAAAAATAAAGAAATTTTAAAAAAAATCACAAAACTTAGCAAAGGCTTTTAAAAAGTAACAAGACTTACTCCACCATATTAGATTTTTTTTTATAATTAATTATTATAGTAAAAATGATAATTTTTTCTATGGAAGGATATCAGTACCACAATTTTTAGCCGGGCTTATTGCTCAAAGAGCAATTGCCGGCTATTGTCAGCCTGTTCAATGCAGGAAGTGTTGACCCCATAGTCGCCAAATTAAAGTTACGTGTAAAAATATAGTACTTACTCTCAACCACTTTTGAGATAATACAAATGCTAAATAAAGCAACAAAAATGAAACGAAGTTTTATCTATACAAATAAACATCAGTAGTAATGACTTTGAAAACTTCAGTCCAAAGTCAAACACCATAGTTCATCTGCGTAATGTTTTTTTATAGTCAATGTTGTCGTAGCCTAGTTCTCTACAAAGACGGAGAAAAGCAGGAGAGGGAACCAGATACATTCGGCGGTGCCATGTTAACTCTGACCCTGATAAATTCGGACTGTGGTTTTAGGTCCCAAAAACTAATTGGTTTATCATTTATTT